AAGTCAGCTCTCAAATAAACTGTCTCTTTACATGATTGAATACCTGTTTCGAAGAAAGAAAGGATCACATGCAAGATGCTACAAGAAGCAACATTATTTTTAATAATTTCAAAAATTATTCAGTGAGTAGCAAGTTAACAGCAGACAGGTCATTAATGAAGTCCTAGGAACCACATATACCACTGCTAAAATTTATCTGTTAAGACAAGTGCCAGTAAGAGCCTACCAGTGCAAGCAGGGTGCTTTTTGTTAATGACAACATTTACAGAATAGGATACAGCCCTCATAAACTTGTTCATAGCTCACCTTTAGATCTTTCAGTGGTATTTCCAGGTACTTTTGTATTGCATGTGACCATATAACTTCAAGATCTGCTAATACTGCAGTGAGGGAGCCGCCAGGTCCTGGGTGTAGATTCAGCTGCCCTCTCCTAATTGGCCAATGTATATTATAAGAATCTAATGGATTAACATACAGTGCCTGAAAATAAGAAATGAAGTTATTTCCCTCCCAATATTTATAATAAATAATAGAAAAATATTTCAGAAACTGACAGAACTTCCTGTACAGCAGCAGTGAGACCAATGGGATGGCAATATGGTGTCTTTCTTTTTAGCAGGGCTGTATTGTCTTAAGACATTCTGTACATGGTTTAAATTATTTGAATTTTCAAATCCATGGATATAGAAGATGGAAACACTTAGATAGGAAAGGACCTTCTAGATCATTAAGTACATAAAAGTGTCTTTTTTTTGTTATCTCACTAATAGCTAAATTAATGTAAAAACTCTTGAAAACTCATGAATACCTAATTAGTCAACAGTAATTCCATGCACTGATCCTTTTTTCTCAGTTTCCTTCCATGCATCTGATTTATACCATGTAGGTAAAGTTCTCACCTGCAGTAATGGCCACTTACAGCAACAGTGAATCTACCCCACTGCTTCTACTATTAGAATAAAGACTTAAGAATATTCAGACATATCTTTTACTTACCCTTGAAAATTACACTGCATGAATCTTTCAAAGAAATACAGTTTTCCCTGCTGTTTAAAATAGCTGGTCTAGTACTAAATGTGGACGTTGGTGGCCCTGCCTGTGGCAGTGGGGGTTGGAGATTCACAATTCTTGAGATCCCTTCCAACCCAGGCCATTCTGTGATTCTGTGAAATATATTTCTAGCTAGGCAAGTGAGGAAAACTGTCTGGTCTTCTTGAATGATAACATTCACTTAGTCCCAAGTAGAGCTGCTCAAGTTCTGTTTGATTAAACTTAGTCTAAATTGAGTTCAAATTGCTCTTCAATACACAGTTATATTAAAGGATAACAATAAGCCTCATTTCAGGTAGGAAATAAATCTTACCTCCTCTCCTACCAAAAACTCAGGATGATTAGAGGTGTTTGTCCACTTGGCCCCAGAGCTGTGATCTAAAATAGCTGGCCGCATCTGTCTGTTGTATGACCTGGCCTGAGATGTAATCAAATCAAACATTGTTTTTACCAGGCACTTTTTGTGCATGGAAGCAACAAACAAACAGACAACCCCCAGCAATCCACGCTGAAAATCCATTTTAAACCTTCATCTTCTTAGATCTTTGGAGGTAAGGGACACAATAACACTATTCATATATACTTTATACAGAATATTTTTTCTTATGTGTTAAAACATAGCATTATACCACATGAGAACACAATTTATTACAATTTTAAGAGGAGTTACCTGGTCAGGTGACACTGGGATACGTCTGGCACCATTTGACATCTTTTTGGACCATATTGCTTGGTCCACCATTTTTAGGCCATTTTGTCTCTGCTCTGTACTTTCAGGTTTCTAAGCAACAGAAATAGCACATATCATAAACACTTGCCGCGCAGCCTGAAAACTGGTAATACTGAATTAAATTAGACTGCGAACTCATTGCTGAGGTTACTAGACCGCGGGACGGAGGGAAGGTTTGTGCATCGGAGGTCCCAGCGGCTCCGTGCCAAGCTATCCAAAGCCGCAACCCGAACAGCGCTCGGCCGGCCGGGGCGCCGCGGTGCAGCTTACATTGAGGCCGTCCCGCAGCAGCCAGCTGTCCCGGTACGCCGCCTGGCCCTGCTGCTTGTGCCGCCGAGCGATGACGTGAGGGATGCCCACAGGCAGCGTGTCCGTGGCCCTCCCGAGTCGCAGGGTCGTGGAGCCGGGGTGGATCACCACGATGAAGTTGCTCTGGATTTGCTGCAAGCACAAAACGCGAGCGGTGGGCGCCCGCCCCGCGGCGCTGCCCTCCCGTCCCCCGCCGGGCCTTTAAAAGGGGCGGCGCGGCCTCACCTCCTGCAGGGACTCGGGCACGGCGGCGGGGACGATGGGCCGTTTGCCGCCGCGCTGCTCTCGCTCACGCTCCTTGTCCTTGCCGTTCTCCGTCTCGCCTTTCTCCGCCTGGGTCATTTTCCCGGCCCGCCTGGCGCCTCCAAGCTGGGCCCGGCGGCGGCACGGGGCGGAACGGGCGGGAGCACGGGAGGCACCGCCCCCCGGACAGCTCGGCTGGTACCGCGGGGCGGGCGGGGCTCGAACTTCTCTACGAGCAGCAGGCGGAAGCCGACGTGTTCATGAATCTGCTGGTAACGAAGGGACGCTGCTGGAGGCTGTGAGAAAAACCGGGTGAAAAACTGAAAGCGGCACTTCGTAGAAGTTAGCTCCGTCCGGGTTCTGCTTGGCGGAACCGGCCAGCTCCCATGGACCAAACAGAGCCCGGAACAACGATTGAAAGTCGCAGCCCGTGCAGAAAAGCAGTGACAGGGAAGAAAATAACTTGTGTGTTAGTGCTCGGTGTTACCGAGCAGCTTTTCTTCCTGTAATGAAAATGAAACCTCATTTTATTCGAAGTGTCCTATTTGCACAGAATATGCACGTGTGTTGAGAACAGAAGAAAGTTGTTTCATGAGTGCTTATGAAGTGGGAATGTTATAGAACCCACAGTCGGGCTTTAAGGAAATGAGTCTTTTAAAATGGAAGGACCGTTTAAAACAAACAAACAAACAAACAAAACTAAAAATGCATTTTACAAGTGTTTTTAGCACATCATTAATATTATAAAAACACAGCAAGAACCAATAAAGGTTCCTTAAAACCTTTAAGGAAGCACTGCTTTAAGTGATTTTTGAGTGATCTTTGGTGTCATGTGTAAGTATTACACATTTTCCTCACCTGAGCAGAAAGGTGTTCACTGTGCTTTGAGTAGAACTTTTTGGTTGTCTAAAAATTAAGAGCCAGCCTTCTGACAAGCCATATATAATTTATTTTGCAACTACAGTAAAATGTTCAGAAACTATACAAAGACTTTAGACAGACAGTAAACATGTATTTAATAACGCTGCACTTCAGTTATACTGGATCCTTGAAGGATTTTCCAGTACAACTTCATTAATCTGCTTATATTGCAGAACAGTTCTTAGTTAGACACGCACATTCACAACGTCCAAACTCATTTGGTCCACCACTGAACTCTCTTCCCTTTCTTCTTGCAAACATGCATGCTCCTTTGCCTGCCTCTTACAGCAGGCACTTACCTAGAAAGACAAAATAATTGCATCATGTTTAAAAACAACAAGGTCTTCCTTTGCAAGATATAAGTAACCATCTTAAAATAAAACTGATTTTAATTTAGCTAAATGAGACCTGCCAAAAGCTTGGAATTCTCATCCTGAGCAGATTACACACCGTCATTTTCCCCCAAAAGCTCTCCCCACTGTCTCTGCTTGCTTCATGGCTAGTTCAAAAAGAAAAAAACTAATCCAAATGAAAAAAGTACGTATATATGAAGAGGCATTTATTCCTTTTTTCATGAGGACACTGAAATATAAGTGTGCAATGGTTGGTTTTGAGTATGAAGTTTTTGCCACAAGACTCACTGTATTACCATCTGCATGCACATTTTCCTTTCAACTTTTGTTTCAATAATGAATAATAATTCATGAAAAGAACAGCTTAAGTCTTAAAGTTAAACCATATATACATTCAGTTAGATGAAAATCCCATCATTTTAACAAAACAGAATTCGTATTTTGAATTACAATTATTAGGCAGTAGCAAGAAATGTAACGTTAGGCTTTTGAAAGGTTTTTACTCCCTTGTTAAGCAATTCTGATTTATGCTATATTACAATTCGAGATGTGCACAGCTATAGCACTGTCAGTGGAAAAAGTATTTTAGTAGCAGATTTTTTTTAACAACTTTTCCTTCTTTCCATTTTTAGGAATCCCCCTTAAAGAAAAAATATCATCTGTAATATGATAACAATTAGAAAAAAACCAAAGTTTCAGTTATTACTGATCTGGATGGGACTTAATATTAGCAAACAAAAAAAGACTGAGTGCTAGATCATTTTTTATCAGCTACGTTCAAATATCTGTTTTATGCTTTGTATACTAATTTCTATGTAATTACAATTAGAAGCTCGTTACTTCTGAGCCAAAACTTCATACTACACTACTTCACGCACACTTTTTTTTCTGTTAATGAAATATCTATCCACTTCTATTGTTCCTGTCTTGGTAACTTTTGTAAAAGCAGGTGCAGCAGAAATGCTAAATCATGGCTTTAAGCAGTGATTGAGCACCTGGTGGGAAGGCAGGGCCAACCCAGATGAGCTCAGGTGTATGCAATGCAGTTGAAGGGTGTATGCAACCTCATTTAAAGGTTGGCAGTGCAGGCAAGGATATCTTGCTGGAGATCCCTACTTACCTGAGACCCTTCAAGTGTAAGTGGATTTTTTTTTTCTTTGCTTCTATGTGTACAGCTGTTGTATATGAGCACACCCTTACTTGCTGCAGTCTAGGACTTTGCTACTCTGCTATTATTGCTGTTTTCCATCGCATTACAGCTTTACAGTAGGATAATGCTCAATAATAACTCAATTCTACCTTAAACTCTATTATTGCTGTTATCTCTAGGAGTTGAAAAATAATAATTAAAAATTTAAAAAAACCACCTAAACCAGGATTGAGGAGATAGGGAATTACCTTCCTCATCCACCTCCAGCCATTGGTGGTGGACTAGGGCCTCCACCCCAGTGATTTATTCTTCCCATTCTTCGGCGAGGATTTCCTGGAGGCCTATAGAAAAAGCAAGAAAGGCAAAATCTATTTAATAGGCATTCTGTTAATTTAGAAATATAAAAACACTGTATCTAAACTATAGCAATTTGATTGATAAAGCCTTTAGAAAGTTGTTTGGTTTGATGTGAAAACTTGTAGTTGCCAGTAACTGATGCTTTTATGCAGCTTTGTAAAAAGGTAAGGCTGTCCATTAGGAACAAAGAAACACAGTAGTTACAATGTCTATATCCACATAATAAAGTGCTTTGTCTAAAATATATAGATAAATCTAACACAAAGTGACTTTTTCATGCAAATCTAACAATATCAGCAAGGCTAACCAAACAAGAATTTTAAAGACAAACATCTATTATGCAGCCCTAAAAAATTGTATCAGGCTGTACTGCTACTCTAGCTATTCTATTCAAAACTCTGTATTATTATCAACAAGTTTCATAGAAAATACTGCAGAAAAACACCAAACGTTTTAGTCCTCACACATGACCTGATTTGATGCAAATTGTGACTATGATCACGATCACAGTATGACATTTTTCAGGGGCAGTGAAAAAAAGATAAACAGAACTACTGAGAATATGAAAAATACCCTCTTCCATCGCTCTGTCCTAAGTAGGAGGAGGATGTGTAGCCTCTTCTCCTCAAATCTGGTTGAATAATGCTCTGGAAGCTGAAAAAAAAAAATAAAAAAAAAAATAGAGTAGTTATGTTCAATGGATGGCGAAACATAGCTTCTAGATTTTGGGACTGCAAGGTAAGAGGTGGACTAAAAAACCAGTAGTGTTAGGAGTGAATAGTATCTTGTCAAGATTATTGTTGTTTAATCTTTTTAATTTTTCTTCTATGCAGAATTATAAAATTGCAACACAGTCCCAAGTAACAATACAGCTCAAAGAAACCAAACTGTCAAGTATTTAAAACTGAACATTATTCTTGTGCTAAATAAAGTGCAGGCAATGTAACTGTAACTAAGATAATGAAGGACTGTTGAAGACATCAAAATAACTGATTCTTTGGCTTCTGGGGCATGCATATAAGACTACTGCTATGTGAGTATTGTTATGCAGCAAGAAACCATTGTCAGTAGTAGAAATCCACCAAATAATACTTCAGTTTGATCAGCCGTTAGAATCTTAACAAAAATGCATGCAGTTTTTCTTTTTGTGCTACTGAAATGGAAGAACTGCCAGTTCTTTAGTATCGGTTTTCATATACTTTGTATTAAATATGTGCATCAAGTGCTTCATAATTGAGACCATGTAACAATATTAAAACATTGACAGATGTTTTCCAGTCTCTTGTCAGTGGTAGTCAGCAGTAGAATAATGGGCACGAACTGGAACATAGGAAGTTCCATATTCATGCAAACAGTGATGGAGCACTGCAACAGGTGAAGCTGTGGATTCTCCTCTGGAGATATTTGAAACCTGTGCAACCTGCTGTACGGAACCTGCTTTAGCAGAAGGGTTGGACTTGAGGGGCTCTAGGGGTCCCTTCCAGCCCCTACAACTCTGATTGTGTGAATAGTACCTATGGAATGCTACAAATAAATCCAGCGTCTTTGTGGTACTGCACTACCGATAGTACTTATCAGCATCAACATATGACAAGTTTAAAATAAAGTTCATCAAAAGAATAGTTGTTTTTTTTTTTTTTTACTTACAACATAACTACAAAGTCTGCTATCGACCAGAAGAAATCTGTTATGGATGAGAAGCTCCAAGGAGCCCGGCTCCGGTTATCCAAAACTTGTCCTGTTACGTGGCAAGAGAGGAAACATTCAGCACTGTTTATTGAATTACATCACTATGTGACTTGAAATCGTATCCAGACAGGATGGAGGACTACACCCCGCGCCTAAAGGTTTACCTAAGTACGAGCACGCGGTTCTCGGAACAGTTGGAGCGGAGCGTTAGACGCTGCATACGGGCACAAGCGCGCACAAGCACACACGCCGAGCACGGAGCAGCGCGTGGGGCTGAGGGAGCAGGGCGGGGACGACGTGTTGTAGAGCCGGAGATGCGCGAAGGGGTCCGCTGCAGCTCCGGCCCGCACCCCTCGCCCCACCAACAGAAGCTGCTGCCTTGAGGCTGGACCACGGCAGCCACTGCAATTCTACCGCCCTCGCATCGCCCCCTTCCCGACAGCCGCCGCTCACCGTTAGATATGTACACCATCGCGGCGCGCTCCTACCGCTGCTCCGTCACCTGCCCCTGCCTACGGCGCGTGCGCGTCTCGCCCGCGCGTGCCCAGAACGGGCGGCCGTGGGCGGCGCGCAGCCGCAGTGCCGGCTCCGCGCTTGAAGCTGACGGGGCCGAAGGGAACGGGGTGGGAGGTGCGGCGGCGCTGGGCGGGGCTTGTCTCCCTGGTGCTGCAGCGCACAGCACGCCTTGAGGGCGGTTCTTCAGCTGCCTTGTGGCGGGCCGGGGCTCGGGGCGTTGTTCCGTCACAGCGAGCTCTTCTGCTAGTGGTTGTAAGCAGCTGTGAAAGAAAAGTATCTGTAGAAAGGTGCATAAAATAAAAGATTTGTGGCTGAGACAAGATTTAGCTAATCCACCGTTCAACAATTGGGAAAAATGGAAGGGTTTAGAAAACAGCGGGTGCTTTGTAGTTAAATGTACAAATGCAAGCAGTATGTTGAAATTCTTCAGGGACAGCATCCAATCCTTTTCTTAATTAGGTATGCTTACAACATACTTTTTTTTTTTTTTTTTTTTTTTTTTTTTTTTTCCAAATAATAGCAAATTTTCAGCTTAGAAACTGCAGAGCAAAGTAAGAAGGTGTAGAAGAGCAGCGGAAGTTCAGTCACTTCAGCATCGTTTTTCTAGTCTGAGTGAATCCAGATAAATGGAAACATACAAAGCGTGAAAGATGTACTGGTGTACTTTTAATTTATGGAAGGCACTGCAGATTTGGTACCATGTGTTAGGGGATATTGTGTAAATACTACATGTGTGTGGAAAGGGAATACGTTACTTAAAAAAGATATTGTCAAATGATCCTGAAATAACCGTACTAAGGGAAGGTATGCACACTCATTTGTTTACATGCTAAAACGTGAAAATTACATCATCTTCCTTTTCAGTGATTTTGTTTCTTTTTTCAACAGGCTTTGAAACAACTACCAAATTACCTTATGCTTAGAGAGCTGTTGCACAAGCTGTAGATACGTTTGCCAAGAAGAGCATGAACACAGGGCTGATGGCAATGGGAACATGGAGGCAATAAATTGTCATAAAGTAGGTATTGTAAATTTTACGATGTACTGAGAACATATACAAAAGGACTCTTACCTGTGGAAAAACAAGTGTAAGGTCCAAACTTTTCACTGTAGTTTAGACAGAAACATGGTAGCAAACATGAATTAGTAATTATTCCACATGAACTTGTACTCTTTATGCGGTTGATACTGGCCTGCACAAAATCTAACAACATTTTGAACAGCTCATTCCTACTTTTTAAGTATTGATTTCAAAAGGAGCATGTTAATCCTGTGGAAAGGAACAATGTATTTTTTGTTTTTCAAATGGCAACAAAACAAGCACAACAACAAAAAAACAAATGGTTATTTTTAAAAGGTTAAATCGCATGTGAGGTGATCTTGGCTTATTTCACTAACTTACCATCTCAGTGTCATAAATTTAGATAATTGCAATACAAATGTTCTATGAGAAATGTATTTTTGATGAATATAAATCTATTAAAGAAATACATTTTTTGAACTCAGATTACTTGTCGTTGTGCATTCCTAGTGTAGACAAATTTTGTCAGCATATCTGGGTAATTAAGAGTGGTAAAAATAAGTTGCCACTATATAAAATGATACATGAAAACGTAAGCGTTTGTAACAGTTTTTGTTCAAATTGAGATTTAGACATGAAAATGTGACATTTAAAAGATACGGTTAAAAATAAATTGTAGCATAGTGTTATTAAGCATGCTACCTGTTGGTCTGTGTTTGGGTCAAGAATGGATTAGAGAATAGGAATGTGAGGAATTACTTGTGTTTTGGTGCTGCCGAGGAAGCATACGGGGACAAAAGCTCAGGTTGAAACTGTTTAATGGTGGCTGCCCTGCCCTCACCACCTGCTCACAGCAGCTACTCCCTCCTAGGGTGGGCTCTGGGGAATCTTTGTTATGTTACAACTGTTGCCATGCCTCTGATATTTTCTGACCCTCCCTTGTGCTTTCAGTCTGCGTGCCTGGCATTGGGGAGTTCAGAGGACAGCAGCAGCTGCAGCGCACCTGCTCTTGAAACACAGCAGGAGGCATTTGTAAAGTTCTAAACAGAAATAGAAAACTGCCAGATTGCCTTCCTGAACGTGAGTGCAGCTGTACAGTGCTTTGTGGTTGGTGTTTTTTTTTTTTTTTTTTTTTTTTTTTTTTTTTTTTTTTTTTTTTTTCTGGCCTGTAGAATCTCTTCTCGTCATGTAATTTAAAAGGAAACGTGTAGTGGAACTGCTGAGTCACGGCCTGAAGCAGTGATTGAACACCTGGTGGGAAGGCGGGGCCAACCCAGGGGAGCTCAGGAGTATGCAATGCAATGCACCTGAGTGGCTAGAAGGGATAAAGCTAGGACACACCCCTTCCCAGACTTCATTTAAGGGTTGGCAGTGGAGCTAAGGGTATTTTGTTGGAGATCCCTGTATGCCTGAGGCCTTCTGAAGGTAAGCAGCTGTTTTCCTTTGTTTTTGCATCTATGGATGCTCTATTTGAGTAAGTTCTCACTTGCTGTGCCCTAGGACATACTGCTCCACTGTTACTGCTGTGCTTTCAATTGCATTTCAATGTTTCAACATGCAAAATTGAAGTTTGAATTACTCACGGAAGAGCTGATTGTTTTGTTGTACTTGCCTTTTGTATACACAGTTAATGCTTTATGTATTAAAGGAAGAAGGTCTTCTGAACACATGACCGAATTTCAAATGTGGAATGTTACTTGCATCCTTAAAGATGAAATTTGTGTGATATGTCATATTATTCTATTTCATTTAATAGCTTTCATCAGGGATAGATATATGCATTTATATATATATTTTGTGTGTGCATATGTGAAAGAGCTAAAATTCTGTTTTCCTTAGAGCAAAATAACATTGATTTGAAGTCAAAATTTTAAACAGGTTACCTGTTTAGATAAGCTTCAGTTCTGATTAAATGATTAGAAAACTCCTTTTTCTAATTTTTTTGTTTGCCTTAGCCAAGTATATCCTTATTTGTACTGTAGGACTTTAGTTAAAGGGGAAAATAACTCATGTAAATTTCATCTTGAAGATGTGTTTTGCAAAATCAGGAGCTCAAAAATCAGCCAAAATCAGTCAAGAAAACAAACTCCTGATGCTAAGAACTGTTTTCCCCCCCACCTGGGTCAGAAGCCAGGTGTTCTAGTGAGAGTGTGTCTGAGATCTGCTTTCATTATCTTACTTGTTAGTATCTGAGTAACAAACATGATGAGGCTTGGGTGTAAGATTACTATGGTTTGTGGTCTGAAAGCAAATATATTCTGAAGTAATGTCTAAAGATTGCCTTTATGTTTATTTTGCTAATTAGAAAATAGCATATCTGTATGTGTAGGAACACGTAACTATCTGTAATGTTATGTACTTTTCATGGTAATAAAGCCTTGAGCTCTGAGTAATGTGAAATGCTTGGTTTTGAAGTTATTTGAAATTCTAGGAAAAAGCTTCCTTATTCTTCCACCCAGAGGGAACAGTCTGCTATGTGTTGTCTGCAGGTGTATTCTGTAAGAGGCCAAGCTACATGAGCAGTAGTGAAAAGAACACCCAATTCACTGAGGAGCATTGAGTGGTGGTGATACTTCGAATAGCCGTTAGGTGGCAGCGTGTCAAATAACACGAACTGCTTTCTCAAATTACAGAGCAAGTTTTCTACCAAGTTGGTCATAGTGTGTTTGGCTTCTGCCTTACATAAAAATTGCCAGTTTGCTAGAAACTTGTCATGCATAAGTGGGAAATTCTTATTAGATTAAGAAATGGTGTAGACTACATAGATAATGTTGGGAGTTTGTTAGAGGCTCATGTTAGTAGGGTCTTGAGTTAAGCTGGGAAGCTCCTTGTGTATTTATCCTAGACGACAAAGGGAAAGGTACTGTGGAAACAGAGGGTTAAATTTCCTTCTGGATGCATAATTAATTTTTAGTGTAGCTTTTGACATTGAAGATTTTTTGCTTTGTGTAGTGTACTTAAATCATATTTTGGAGTCATATATTTTTGTGCTTTTTTTTCTTGTTTTATGTCAATTAGATGAGAGAGACCAAGAACTCTACTGTGTGCTTGCAAACTCCTATTTTTGTTGTTACCTATGGCTATTTCAAACAAATGAAAAAATATGAGAGCAGTAGGATGAATGTAGATAGTTAAAAAACAAGGCAACACACAAATATTTACAGAAATATTTTGGTGTCCAAAATGGTAATAACATGCATATTATAAAACATAAATTAGAAGCATAATATAGATATGTTTAATATTTTTCTTTTGAAGCACAGTAGGTAGGAAAAATAAGCATCAGGTAGGTCTTCTGTAAGTAAAACTCGTTTCCTCAAAGTTATTCAGCAAACGAATGACAAACCCTGTAACAGAACTTTTTTCATCATTCATCAGAAGTTCCCATGTGCTATCATGGGGGTATTTGTCTAACTTCTTTCTAAGGACAAGTAATGTTGGCTTCAGTTCTAATCAGCAGCAGTAAGCATCAGTTCATATCAATCTTATGAATGAAGTCAAGTGCAGATGTGAAAATGTAAGCATTTTGAACCAAAATGTGCCATGATTATCTTTATTAGTTGGGGTCAACCTGCTTCTTCAATCAATCTATGTTGATGCTATCAGGATAGCCAGGCTACAGAATCTATTGGGAATTCTCTAAATGATGTTGGATGTCATTTGTAAAGAGCTGTAGTTGGCTGTGACTCATGAAGAAAATATTCCTGAGCATTTCCCATCTGCAACAAGGTAAAGGCCAGCCTTTACCCAGCACTTTCCTTGATGTGTAAAAAAGGGAAGGCGATCAGTATTTGAATCTCCATACAGCTGCTAGAGTACACAAAAAACAAGGATGCTGCTCTTCACCAAGCAGAAGATCCCTAGGTGTGTGGCAGCAAGATAAGCAGGAGGCTGTTGGTAATCAAGTTCTCTTGGGTGTTTCCTTAACTTGAAAATCCTTACTGATCCCTTCAAACTGTCACAATTTTTGAATCATTAAGAAGGAGAGAGAAAGGGTAAAGATATAAG